TAATGACCCCTATTCGTAGCCGTCGATATATGATGTCTCCTCTATTAGACGCGCCAGAATCTCCTGCTGATGTCTTCATCAATTTCTTTCCTCAAAAGCATTGCTCTGTGTTGCTGCTTGTATGAATTGATCCATCATCTCTTTGAGCGTACTACATTTGACAATGATAGATATTTTGTGATATATTCTCTCAAGTCTTACAAGAAGATATTGATTTCCTAGTCTTAATGTCTTCCAATAAAAGAAATATGCAACAATTCAACAAATTGAGTCTCATACTAATGAATAACCTTTTATAGCTTCCTTAAGTTAGTTTTGCGTGACCTTCCATTAAAAAAGATTACTCTAGAGAAAATCACTTTCTTAATGGGCTCAAGCTGGGCATTTTGGTTCCTAAAGGGTTCATTCCTAAACTTATTTCTATTAGATTTCTTACTAGGTGGAATGTTTTCTGTAGGGTTTTCTAAGTAGTCCTCATCTAGTGGTTCTTTATCTACTTGATTTGGGGCAGGGTTAGGAGTAAGAACAGGAGTCCTATCATTTAATTTTTGAATTCATTGTTAAGATTCATTATAAGATCTTCCAACCTTTGAAATCTTTCAATGGTGTGCTGGTTGATTTGTTCAAATTGAGTTTTAAAATCATCCATTTCCTATTGGTGTTATCTAGCTGATCTCGTGATGCAGATTTTGGAGGCATGATGTTAAATGCAAAAATGGCTTAAGAATATATATATATATTTTTTAATTTTTAAATATGAAATGCTTACTGATTTGATACTAAATGAAAATACTATTGATCTTGGAAATTTTTTGGCCTTCACAAAATGCTAAAATACAAATAGAAATGACAAAACAAATTACACTTAACTAGGTATAATAATAAAGACAGGAAACTTAAGTTAGATTCTCCAAATTCTAATAGGAATCAAAAGTAGGGTTTTATATTTTAAGTGTAACTCTCTCTTATTTTTGGTGTCATGTCAAGTGAGTTCAGGTAGGATAAGTTTAGGCTTGATGGCTAGATCTTTTATGCGAGGGCAACTAGTTGGCACCGTTTCTTAGTATGATATAATTTGCATCAAACATGAAATCTATCACAAGTAATACTATAGAAAATTAAAATACCAAATTGAGAAAATAATTAAAACCAAAATTCAAAGATTACCTCAATTGATTTAAATCTCATTTGTTTCAAGAACTTATGCCAATGCAACTCAATCCATAAGCTGTTCACTTTGTCCGATGCTATAGTCCACAAAATCGGCTCTGATACCAAACTTAGCGTGGGGTGTGCTCTAAGAGTTAGATAAAGATCATTAAGAAATGATAATGTGGACTTAAATCTCCCTCAAAGGTAAAGAAAGTCAAATTTGCTAGTGGTGTTCAATTTGTAGTGGAGTGGATGAATATGGAAGGCTCTAAAACTCTCAGGTTTCTGTCTATATAATGGAATCCTTAATTTTCAACTTATGTAACTTGATGTACAGTAGTCCACTTAACTAGCCCAGCTTGAGTTTTTTATTATTTTAAATAATTTAAAACCCTGCTAGGAAAGCCTTTGGAATGTTTGAATGCTAGAAAATTTGAAAATTTTTCTGGAGTATTTTGATCTTTAAATTGGCCTTTAGTGTTTTTTTTTTAAATGTTCTTAAGTATTTTTTTTTTGTTATCAAAAAAATCAGGGGCTTTACAAATTTCTTAGTGTCGTTCAATTACCTTTTTGATGTGGTCTTGACTACCATGTTATAGTTGAAAGCTGCATATGTCAAGGGTGTGTTCCATTGACTGATGTGGCTTGACGTATTTGTTGTCATGGCATGCTGATGAGGTATGACTCGTGCTATAGTGGGTCCTAAAGTTGATAAGGTATGATTTAATTTGCCATGTGCTTCTGGCATTGGCAGAAGAAGCTTGACAATGCATGTACTATGTTTGATTGATCGATTCAGGCTCACCATCATTTATTGCTCTATTGTTGGTCCATGTGCTACGTGCTTAGCCATTCTAAATTGACAATTAATTCGTTTATTTTGGCACTTAAAAACTTGTAATCATGCCCATAGGTCGTGTAATTATGCTAGGTGATAGAATGCTCTCAGTTTAAAGCATACTTATATTGGGCAGTGCTTCTAATTACTTAGGTGAGAAAAGCTTTCTGTTTAGTAATGTGTAACAGCGCAGGGGCTCACGTAATTACGCTCAAGTACTTTTGTTCTCATTTTGGAAAGGCATGCAATTACGTTGGTCTTGATTGTAATTATGTGATGCTCAGCTTCAGCATATTTACATATTTCTCTTTTTTGCAAATTTTTTTATTTTTTCATTATTTTTAAAGCTGAGAGGGCCTTGCTTGTTGGAGAAATTTTGTAATCCTTAACGATTACATATTTTGTGATCGAGCACGGTATAGAAAAAATGATATATTATCCCAAGGGATAAAAATATCATTTCCTTATGGACTCATTATCAAAATTTACGATTTCAATTTTTCAACAGAGATTTTCTCTCATTTAATATTTGGTTGAATGGAGTTTAATTTATTATGGGATATAGATGCCCCATAGAGGCAAATCCCTATGATTAATTATATCTCAAGCATTTGGTACTTGAGAAAACTTTTGATTAAACTAGTGGTTTCCTGCAAAGTAAACGCTAGGGGTTGGTCTGCTAGCTGCTTTGTGGTTGTTCAGTTCCCTTGGCTTTGCTGTTCGGTTCTGCTATCTGATGCCCGGGTTCATTTCCCTATTTTGGCCCTTGTTCCTCTGCCTGCCCGGTTCCTTCCCCCTAGCGTTGTTCGTTCGTTGGCTGTGTTCCGCTTTCCCTTCGAGTGATGCTCCATTCGGCTGCCTGTAGGCCTTTTGCCTTCCCTTTTCTGATTGGATTGGATGGGCGGCTGTTTTGGCTGTTTGGCTCTCTTTCTTCTCCTATATATTTAGGTTGTTTGTGGCTGTTTTATGTATGGAAATGTGATAATTTTTGGAACAAAAACCTGAGAGTTTTTTCTTCTTGGATAGCTTGCGAGCATTATCCACTTATTCTCCTCTCTTTGACTTCGTCTCGGGCTTCTTATCTATTTCTTCTCTCCGCAAGTGTCCAACACCATTTGTATCAGTCTTCTCTAAAATATATGAAAGTTGTAGTGTGTTTTTAGGTTTCTTATTTCTTGTGTTATTTTTTTTTTAAAGGAAGACGCTTGTTTGTTTGCAATCCTAGATTTTCTCAAATTTTTTATTGCATCAACACTCTACTTATGGGGGTCATCAAGCTTTATCTTCTAGATAGGTTTTGGGCTTCACAATGGTAGGCTCATCATTTTGATCCAACTTTCCTCTAACTAAAACCCCACAAGCCCAAATATACATCATAAGTCTAATCAAATATATTTTAAAAAAGAGAAGACTTAAACCTGCGAAATAAGGGATTATAAAATAGTTTATATAGGGGCTGTTTGGTTTCCTGCAAAGTAAACGCAGTGTAAAGTAAATGCAGTGTAAAGTAAATGTAGTGCATTCTTTAAATGCCCCCATCTAATCCTCGAAAAACTGTTTGGTTTCCTGCAAAGTAAACGCAGTGTAAAGTAAATGCAGTGTAAAGTAAATATAGTGCATTCCAAATACTTTTGAGGCTGTTTGGTTGTCTGCAATGTAAACGCATGAGAAATGGTTCCCATGTTTGGTTAAATATATCCAGAGTAAAGTAAAAACAGTGCATTTGTAATATTTTTTTGTCATTATAACTAGTGTAATTATAAAAATAATTATATATTTTTTTGAAATTATAAGATATAATATTCTGTTGTGTATTAATTTAGCAGTATGCTGCAATAGACATAAATTTATTTGTAATTGAGAGAAATTTTAATTTTAATTTTGTGAAAGTATAAATTTTTAATTTTTCAAGTAATTTTTTACAAACAAAATTTCAGCAAATTAAATTTTCACACTGATTTTTTTCTTTAATTTAGCAATAAAAACAATGGTTTTCGTTTAGCAAACAATAAATCACATGATTTTCATTCATAAGTTGTAAACAACATTAATGAAATTTTAAAATTAGAAAACAAAATATAAAACAAAATCCATTGTTCTTAGTTATAATTACGACAAAGTAACACGAAACAGTTATTAATGGGAGATTAACTATTGCTTTCTAATAATAGGATTGAAATATGACTTTAGCAAGAGTAACTCTTAATTATAAATTAAATAATAATAATAATAATATAGTTCTTCGTATCTCTATTTTTGAAATTATAAATTCTAATGTAGATGAATTGTTCATGCAGCTCTATCTGACGCTATTTATTCTATTTTAAAATAGAGGTTCAATTGATGTATTACCGAACATATTATGTGATTCTAGTTCCCTTTTTATTTTACAACATCTTATGGATATATGTCAATCTCATTTTTTTAGAGTAGAATAATTGTAAACATATCATTAAGTTTCTTAGGTCTGACTAAGTGTATAGTTTTTTTTTTTTTTTCCCTTTGTGGAAGCTTCAAGTTAAGAAATTGACATTAGCCCAAAATGAAAACTTGAGCACAGGCTATAAATTAGCTAAGATAAGACAATATGATTATTACCTACTTCAAGCTCATATATTTACTTGTCCAGCTTAAGCAAAGCTTGAACCTGGCCACTGTTCTAACTAAATATTGTCTAGTTTTATGTAGTTGCTCACTTAATTGTTAATTAAGATCAAGATAAAATCTAGACTAACTAGATGTACGTGAGATAAGAATAATTTAGACATATAAAATCATCAATGAGCATAAACATTTTCTTATTTGTTCATAAAACTTGAAGTAATTCACTTAGCATATCTTTTAAAATTGGAATTCTCAAACTACCTGAAAATTAAGATAGGATTAGAATCAAATCAAACGATAGCATGATTTCCTGAGATAAGCATCCATCTTGCATGAAGTACATTGGACGTATCTATCTAAGCAGGTAGGACAGGAAAATTATGAAATGAATCATTAAATAAGCTACTAAACAAACAGAAACTAAGCATTTTATCAAACACTTACCGATCAAATTGTTGAAGTTCCAAACAAATATGTTCACTATAGATAAATAAACGTATGCTCTGCATCAAAATCAGCAATCCTTCTCATTTAAAAGGTTTGCGAAATGAAAGTAAAGAATCAATCTCTAAGGAAATTACAATAATTGCAACGAAGAGATGCATAAATTAATCCTCTGCGCTTCACTCCCTAAGACCATTTAATCTAAAATTTAAGGGCATTATGCAACCAGGGCCACACTCGCTTGGAGTTGAAGGAATCCAAGTGTTCTGAAAGCGAATGTTTACAATATTCCATTTGCATTGTTTATATACTGGAAAAATAGAGGTTTCTTCATATACTGCAAAGAAAGAAGAACATCAAGAAAAAAAAGAGGAAAAATTAGAAGCAGACAAATAAGTGGGAGGAAAAATAAAAGGAAACGAGAGAGATTTGAAAGGAAATAACGAGAGAGGTGAAGACCTGAAGAAGAAACGGGGCTAGAAGAGACTAGCTCCTTCTTATGCCTTAGGAGAGGGAGGTCGTAGAGCTTGCGGACTGGAGAAGGTTGTCCGTCGGGGTATCCCACGTCAGCCGACGCCGAAGTGAAGGAAGAGCTCCACGACAGTTTTGCGGAACCAGGCGAAGCAGACCAAGCAGCCACGATGCAGGAACGTCAGAGAAAAGGGAGAAGAGCCCAGGAATGGAGAAGAGAGCAAGGAAGAACGGAGAAGAAGGGAGAATATTGGTCAGCTTCGGCAAAATCATCGCGCAACATCCGCCAAAGAATTTCTAACCCGCTCAATTTGAGCAGGTTTCGAAGTCGCGCGAACTGCCTCCCCTAATACCCCGCTATTGCTTCGGAGGTATTCCTTTCGTTCCGCTGAAAGCCAACCAAACGACCGAAATTGAGAAACGCGCGTAAATTATATCCTTTACCCTACTAATTATGCAAACCAAACAGCCCCATAACAGAAATATCACATCCAGAATTGCCTAGTACTTGAAGTGCTAATCCTTGTTTCTATCCTATTAGTCATGCCTCTTTGGAGAGTTTTAAGTAGCACCTATTAGCAAGCATTTTTATGTACTATTTATTTCACCCTCTCTTAGACATGATCACCTGCACAAAAAAAAAGAGCATGCAATATTTCTACACTAACTACTTAAGGGAAAGTGTCCATAATGCAGACATTCAAATGTGCATCACACCATGATGTAGACACACAAGTAAGAAAACCGACACAAAGAGAACAATGGATATAACTTAAACCAAACTTTATTAAAATAAAAGCAAACTACTAAGACTTCAAAATTCAACAAGAAAACACTAAGAGATTTTAAGGAAATAAAGAAAAATAAAAGACACTATCCTCAGACAACCGTTAGAGCGGGTTCCTCACATGCATCGAATTGTAGGTTAAATAAGATAAGTACATAAGACTAGCAAACTGATGGTCCACCATTGCAAGATTGTCCAAATGCTTCCAAATCAACCAAGACACGACACCCTAAAGTTGCTTTACTTTTGAGAAGAAAGATACAGATGGAGTGACACTTGCGGAGAGCCGAAAGTGGTTAGAAGCCGAGAAGAAAGGTTGGAAAGAGCTCGCAATTTTCGGAGGGGCTGAGAAAGAAGGCGGACAAAGCTCGCAAGCTTTTCCAATAACCTGCAGGTCAATAGCAATTTTGCTCACAATAATCAACTGATTTTCTTCACAATATCTTCCCATATTTATAGGCAAGGTAGGGGAATGCCAAAAGCCACATAACATTAATTTCCACTAGAACCGAAGCACCATTAGCACAGAAATCCCCCCCGATCTTTTCGGAAAACATTCCAAACCCAGGAACCGAAGCAGCAGCCGCGGGAGACAAGGGGGCAGCACGGAACCAAGGAGCCACAACCACAGCCACGAGAATCATCCCAGGCATGAAAAAAACAGCAGCCATCCAGAAACCCAAGAGGCAAAGCACGGAAAACAGTAACCCCATTTTAATTCTTATGCATTAAACAAGCCACGGTTTCTCAAGAGACAAGAAGAAAGGGGAAGGGGAAGGGACAAGGCCACTCCAAAAGTAAATCTTTCTTAATGAGATACCTTTAGAGAATTAATGAGCTACTAAACTCCAGCTCAAACAACTAAGAGAACAAGCTCAACACCATATGCTTCAAAACAGCCAACACGTGAACCATCAGCAGCCAAGGACCAATCGAGCCAGCAAACCAAAGGTCTACCAAGCCTTATGCACAACCTACCATGATCATTGGATGCTTTCCCATCATTGGATAGCTAAAAAAAAGAAAAGAGCATAAAATATACTATTGTTCAAATAAAAATAAAAATTACAGAAACATTTGATAGCATCACACCACAACATCAAATTCATACGCTGAAACAAAAAAAAATCTTAATTTCTCCTAAGTGCGTGCAGACTATGTGGTATGTCACTAAGGAAAGTGTTTTTGTTTTATTGATGAAAGAAAACTTGTAATCTTAATCCAAGGGTGATTTCTCTTTTAGTTGTTTGTAACTTACACATTTTATTTTTCTTTTAATTTGTTTCATATTTAGGAGGGTTATGAAGAACCCATAAAACAATCACTGCTTGCCTTGAGGCAAGCCTGCCACTTATGAAGTCCTAAGATATAATGATGTAGGCATCCCACCTTTTGGGTGGGACGATTAATTATTATATTAAAAGAAACATAGACAATTTTAAAGATTTATAAAGTTCACTTAGTGTTTGGATAAGAGATGAATGTTCTCCTATTAGTGTAAGGTGAACATGCTTAAGGGTTATACTTAGGACTTTGCGAAATTCATCTAATTTGGTAAGATGAATTTCAATGGAGAGAGACTCCTAAGAGATATCTAAATGTTATATATTTTAAATGTCATGGAAGGAGAAGATCAATGTTATGTTGAATGAAATAATACTTAGAGTTTGGGTCTAAGAGAGAGATGTCCAACATATAACTTTTGTGCTAGATGTTGGAGGATTTTCTTAACTTTTGGAGCTAGGGAGAAAGGAATGAAACTCATAGCTTGGTGGTCAAGAGTTGGAGATTTCTCTAAGGCTATTGGAGCCCATAGAGAAGAGGGATGACTTGTAATTTTGGGTCACAAGTCATGGATCAATTATTGAACTTTGTGTTCAATAATGCAAGTTGATTTGCCTAATTTGTAAAGGAAAACAAGAAATGATGACATGCAGATGTTGGCTACAAGACCTAATGAATTTCTTTTGAATTTTTAGATGCCCAATGAAGAGTGTTCATTCTTCAAACTTGATTTGGGATAATGTATATGAATTTGGATTTCAAATCATAGGGAGTTTTCCTTGAACTTTTAGATGTTCAAGGGAAGATGCTCACTCACCTAACTTTGGTTAAGTAAATTCGGGGGGATTTCCTACAACTTTTGAATTGTAGGAGAGAGAAGTGTAGTATGCAACTTGGAGGTATGCAAACTAAGAATGAATCATTGAATTTTCTCTTCAATGCGATGTAATCATCAAACTAAGTTGGATTAGGTAGATGTGGGAGTATGATACATAAGTGTGGATCACAAATCATATGAAATTTCTTTGAACTTTGAGATGTTCAAAGAAAGATATTCATTCATCCAATTTAGATTAGGAGAATGAAGAGATTCCCTACAACTCATGAGTTTTAGAAGCAAGGAAGCATAAGTGCAACTTGTAGGTTGCAAATTGAGGAGTGCACTTTGATTTTTTTGATGTTTAAAGAGGAGGAATCATTCATCCAACTCGGGTTGGAGAAATGAGAGGGGGAGAAAATGCAACTTGGGAGTTGCAAATTTATGAATATTCTTTGAACATTTGATGTTCAAAAGAATCTAATTATTTTCCTAATTCAGGTATAGGCAAATGATGGATAATTTGAATGTTTTCCTATAATCTTGGCTTGTAGAAGATGACAATGAAAATGCAACTTAGATGTTGCAAATTTGAGGAAGCTCTTTGAACATTTGGTGTTCAAAGAGGGGTGATTATCTACCTATTTTGTATTGGGCAAATACAAGGAGACATGTAGATTTAGACCACAAGTCGCCATAAGTTTCTTTGAACATTTAGGGATTCAAAGAGAGGGGTTCATTCTTCCAACTTGAGTTGGAGGGATGAAAGGAAGAAAATACAACTTAGGAGTTGCAAATTCTTGAATCTTCTTTGAACATTTTATGTTCAAAGAAGGATGTACACTCCTAATTAGGTTAGAAAAATTAGCAGATTTTTCTACAACCTTTGAGTTATAGAAAGAGAGAAATGATATTTAACTTGTGGGTTGCATATAGTAGGGTAAATCATTGAACATTGTGTTCAATGACGCATGATCATTTACCAAAATCATGTTTTAAGTAAATGTAGGAAGTGGTATGCAACTTAAGGGTTGCAAGTTGAAGAGTGATTCATCGAATTTTGTGTTCAATGAAATGTTAGGTAAATGTGGGAAGAGATGTGCAACCCGGAGGTTCCAAGCTCATGAATATTCTTTGATTATTTGGTGTTCAAAGAGAGATGTACACTCTCATAATTTTGAGTTTTAGAAGAATGAAAGGGTTTCCTATGGAGGCTAAGAAATATGAGAGGTTTTCCTACAATTCTGGGCTTGTAGGAAGGTGATGTGAAACGTAAATGCCATATACTTGCCTAGGTGGCAAGATTAATTAAAGCCCAAATCAATTTGTGGAGAGAGAATGGAAATATGAAATTAAGGAGTAATTAAAGCTAATTCAAATTCAAATTTTGAATTTGAATTGTCATTAATTGGGAGTGTTAAATGATTAATTGATTTAAATCTGAAATCAAATTCAAATTAAATTTCAGATTTAAATTAATAGTTATTGGCTTAATTGGAGGGACGAATTTAAGGAGTAATTAATGCTAATTCAAATTCAAATTTTGAATTTGAATTGTCATTAATTGTGAGCCTCTCCTAATTAAGAAATTTCTTTATTCCAAGGAGGAAGAGAGGGGGAGGTGGGGGTTGGTGGGCGTCGGCCTAAGGGATGGCCGGCGGGTGAATTTCTGGACGGGCCAACAGGGCCGGCGGCAAGGAGAACTTGGGGAGGAAAAGCCCGAGCTTGGTAGAGGATGAGAAGTTTGGGGAAATCTTGGAATTTCTAACCTCACGCTCTTAAACTTCAAGATCTCAAAGGAGATTGTAGGGATGTCGGAACTCACACAGAGATCCACGAAACTCTCCTCAAGAACTCACAAAGAGATCTTGAGAATCTCGGAACTCACAAAGAGATCCGCGAAACTCTCCTCAAGAACTCACAAAGAGATCTTGGGAAAGTCGGAACTCACAAAGAGATCCTTCTGAACTCACTAAGAGATCAACACGAAAATAAAATTTTCCATTATCAATAATCCCTCCAAATATAAGAGAAGGGGCCTCTATATATAGGCCTAAAAAAAAATTAAAAGACACATTTGCCCCTTGGGCTTACATAAAACAAGAGGGTAAAATGGAAAATTGCAAAACTAAATTAAAATACACTTAATAAACGTAAATAAAGCAAAGTGATCTCGGTCGTCGATCTTCAGCTCCTCCTCGGATTGGCATGGACTGTTGGATGTCCGCATCATTCTTCCGGGGTGGAAAAGACTCGACTCCGTCGAGTTCGCATCCCGGGTGAGCAACCATGCTCTGATACCAAACTGATGTGATGCAACGGTGGAGTTACACAAGAGTTAAAAAGAGAATTAAATTTTAGCTCAACGAATTATCTAATCATGCATCAAAGTTAAGTTGATTATAAGTAATTCGCGATGTTCAACCTTGCTAGGCAAAGAAACTACAACAAGAGAACTAAACCATTTAAGCAAACGCAAAGGAAAACATAAAGCAAAGGCTAGTAAGTAAAAATCCCGCAATTAATACAAAGTTGTTCACACCTTGAGACCTTTAACTCTCTCTTCCTACGGAGACTAAGTTGAGCGACGGAAGATTGTCCAGACTAGCATGGAGGTTGCCACTAGGATGGAGGTACCAAGGAACGTTGCCGTGGGAAAGGATCTCGGAGGCGGAGGAGGCACGGTAGATCGACCTTTGATAATCCAAGTGTAGACGGAGAAGTGTTCGTCAATGGAATCTACAAGCGTCGGTAAGATCCGGTCCAAGTATTCTTCGACGGTATCGTCGAAGTCAAATCCGACGTCGAAGAACTGTGAGTGGAGGATGTTGACTCTTCTGTTGTTGTCGTATTCAAACCCGAAGTTCCACTCGGGTTCGTCCATGCATCCTTGGAGTGGAGCCGAATGGTCGCTGCAAGAGAGATCTCCCAAGGAGGGTGGGTGGGGCGGCGGCTTGGCTAAGGGAGAGGGGAGCCGGCGGTAGAACAAGGAGAGGGCGGACTGGATGAGAGAAAACTGAAGTTTAATTTCAGTTTTGTGAAATTAGGAGGGAAGGATTAGGGATTTGAAATTCTAATTAATGTAATTAATGCATTAATTGAAAATTCCAATTAAGGAGAGATTATGGGGAGAAAACTGAAATTATTTTCAGTTTTGAGAGGATTGGAGGGAAAGTTTTAATCCTAATTTGAATTTCAAATAGGATTTGGAAGGTTTAATTGAGCATTAATGGGATTTCCCATAAGGGGGGCCGGCGGCATCTATGAGGGGGAGAGAATTGGGGGAGAGAGGAAGGGGGCTTCCAAGTGGGATTTGATGACTAGGAAAAATCTGAAATAAATCCACTCTCATGCAAATATTATTTTGGATTGATTTCAAAAACTTTCCAAAAATAGAATTTCCCAATTTTGAAAGTAATGAAATTTGAAAATTCAAATTTCAATGAGGGTTGGGGAAAGAGAAGGGAGAAGTGGTGGAGAGGGGGGGGGGATGGTTGGCGCAAGGTTGGTTGGCGGCGGTTGGCAATCCAGGAGGAAACTTGCTTCAAGAAAATTCGGCTCCTTCCCACGGTTGCGTATTGTGTACGGGAATTGTAGGTAGAGAAGATGAGGGAAACATGTAACGATTTCGAGAACTCACTAAGAGATCTCTAATGGAACTCACAAAGAGATCCAAATCTTGGCACTCACAAAGAGAACACAAAACACAATTTTGATTCAATTATCCAATAATCCTCATACAAGATACAAAGGCCATATAAATAGGCTCCAAATAAAAGAAAATGCAAAAGTCTAAAATGCCCCTTGGGGCTACAAGAGCGACTACTACCCTCACGGGTAAAATGGGAAACTACAAAAATAAAAGCATAATATATAAAATGCTGGTACAAGTAAAATCAATAATAAAGACTCTCTATCATGGCCGTCGATCTCCGTGGTCGTCTCTGATAGACGCGCCGAAATCTCCTATCGATGACCTCATCAGAAGGAGAGGACAACTAATGTGCAATTTATGGATTGCAAATTGGGGATACCATTTGAACATTTGGTGTTCAAAGAGCTTGGAACATTTATTTAATTTGGGCTAAGTGAATGTGGAAGGAAGACTAGGATTTGGATCCTAGGTTAGAAAACTACTCATTGGTTTTGTGTTCCAACAAATAAGATTGAGAACTTAGAATTTGGCTCCAAGTTCAAGGACATGGACATGATGTATTTTGGATTTTAGAGAAATCCATAACAGAATGCATGTCCGACACTTCCTCTCATATAGGTTGCAAGTTGTAGGTCCGATCAACCCCTAGGATCGCAAGTTGCAGGTCTGACACTTCCTCCTTTGGGCTGGATGTTCGAACCACATGCAGAGACAAAGTCTCCCGCTCCTTCTCATATTGGTCGGACACACTCAAGAGGAATGCCGGTCTGAATGGAACCCCATAGTCTCTCGTCACCTCTAGACGCATGTACGATGCTATTCGTTTTCTCCCTCTTTTGTTCTCTTTTGCTCGGTTTGGACACACAAAGTAGGTAAGATTTGAATGAGAATTCCCCCTCCAACTCTTCTCTATATGTGAAACTAGAAGATCCCTGCTGTTGGATTCTCCTATATCTGAGTACTGGATATCCCGCTGAGGGATTTGACGGGAAACATAGTGAGAATTTTAAGAAAATCTGAGCCCTATGATCAATTTATTGATTTGATAAGTCAATTGAGTCCAGATTTGGCAAATTGGATTGAAATTGAATCCTAATTGAATTCGATCCGAATTGATTTGGGTTGATTTGGGTATGATTGGGTCCGATCGAGCCAATTTTGTGAAATTGTGTTAGAATTGACATCGAATTTGGTTCGACAGGGCTCTGCGACGTTCAATTGGGTTTGATTTGGAACGATTACGGGTTGATTCGATCAATTCTATTTTAATTTGACTTAGTTGGGCTTTATTTGAGTTAATTTAGGCCCAATTTGAGTTAATTTTGGCTCAGCGGTGGTCATTTTAGTCGATCGAGCCCAATCAAGCCCAATCGGGCTCAAACCGGCTTGACCGGAGTCGGGTCGAAGAAATTACGCCAACATTGCTCTTCCATCTTAACTCAGCCGAGTCAGAGTTTCTTTGCACAAGTCCAAATATGCATGTTTTAACTTCAGTGTTTAATCTTATTTTTAGTTTATTTTTCATCTAAGTTATGGGCAATGGAGAGCAATTTGGCAGTGCTTTCAAGTAGCGTTCACAGGTTGGGTGAAGTTTTCATCGCTTAACCCAAAATGCTTCATGCGCCGCCATACTTTTCTTTCTTATTTGACCAGGCTTCCTGAAGGGCCACATGAAAACGTCTGACAAAATTTTTTGACAAAACTAGAGCAAAAGTTTTGGATCATTTTGGCGAATGATGGCTTCCTCACCCACTGCTAGGCTCTGCAAAGGTTTGAGTAATTGCTAGGAATTGTTGATTAGTGATGCTGGGCAATATTTTTAAAAGTTTGCATGCCAGTGGAGCCTGCACTTGTTCTTTATAAAGAGATTTTTTTTACCACATTTATTCCAGCAGAACCTCAAAATCTTTACCTGGAGCTTCTCTTAAAATCTTCATGAGGGTTGTATTCAGAGTGGGAGGGGCTACTTCCCTCCACAAATAATAATTTGGGATTGAACCTTTGGAGGTGTGAAGGGGCTGTTGTACTGTTACACCTCATTTTGAGTCCTCTTCGCCAACTTGAGGTGTAACAGAGATGAAAATCTTGGATAGATACATTTATTACTAACACTCATCCTGAACTATATACATTAGGATTGAGTGGGTATAAAATTAATATTTTCAGACTATCCCAACACAAATATATTCCAACCATAGAATTATACCTCATGATTTCATGTTCGGAAGCATGTTTAGTATTCATCAAAATAAAATATAGAGCTTTACAAAAAAATTTAAATAAAATTGTACATACCCAAAAGCTTTAATTTACAACTTATTGATCAATCTTCTATCTACACCTAAAACTGAACATCCAAAATGACTATGTACTACCTGCCTAAAGCCTTGCTAGCTCCTTCTCCTTTCTTTCAAGACATCAACTAGTGAGCTAAACACTTTATGCAATACACAATTCTACTATAAGATTCAATGTACAAGAACAAGAAGCAATCAATATGCATGTTGATATTTAGAACTAATATAAAAGTCATAAGCAATACAAGTGTAATTTAAAAATAATGAATAAATTGTATCTCATTTTAATAACTGATTAATGCATAACACTGTGTAATTCACTATATGAAATCTTTTAGGTTTTCTCTCATGTCTCTTATCTTGTTCATGTACACTATTTTAGAAAAGCCATATGATAACTATTGGCTTTTAGCACGTTCATAATAGGTCGTCACCTTGCACTTCAACTAATCATTTATTTATGACCCTCCCTTCAAGTTTGGATCTAAAAAAAAATTCTATTTTTTTTAAGAGAGATATGGGTAACATGACTTTTCTTAATGATAATCAAACTATCACAGCAGTCATCAAGGATATCATTTAACAATACACAATGATTAAGAATCCATAACATTATACATATAAAATAAATTTATTATGAACAAGTGATTATAAAGCTGAAATTTTTATTGTTGCAGGAATTTTCATGTTATGATTAATATAAAGAAATGCTATAAAATTTAGATTGAGTACCTCTTCACGTTTTCTGGCTTAGCAGGATGGATTTGATCCCTTAGAATACCATCTTATTTTTCTTTAATAAACTTAAATAAATCATGATTTTCTTAAATTATAAAAAGTCCCTAATTTCTAAATCCAATTTACGACAAAAATCGCAAAAATAAGATTTTACCTCGATTAAATTTCTCGTCATTCAAGTTTCTTATTCCTACAACATGAATCGAATCACACAAAATTTCTTCTTCCTTTTCTTTTTTCCCCTTTCTCTTCTTCTTTTTTTTTTCCTTCTTTCTTCGATTACTACAGTAACACTTCTACAGTGCTGCCAGTAGCCGCTGCTACTTCTGCCTTCTTCTCACGGCATGCTCTTGGGAGGCTGCTACTTTGGCTCCAGAGGTTAATAACGGGAGGAGGAAGGATTTGAAATGGTTTAAAGTTTAAGTAATATACTTACATAAGTTGTTATATAACTAATAATTGATTTCAGCCCCTTGATTTCCGCACTAACCAAATCAGCCATTGCATGTGATAGTAAGTGGAAATTTGCTTTGGTACAATATATTAAAATCTAATAGAGAATTTTTTAATTAATGAATAGTAATATTTCCTGAGTTCTAATTTAATTTATGTAGAACTATTATGCTTATGTATATATATATATCAAAATGATCGAAATGAAAAATAGAATTTTATAAAAATAAATTTGATGTATTTTCAAATTAGTAAAAAATGGGGTATGATTTTTGGGAAAATTTAAGCTTATCTTTTAGTAAAATTTTTGAGTATTATATGTACTTTCTCAGGATAGGTAGTGCATGGTGGGGCTTACCAATTAGGTGGTTTCTATAGAAAATCAAGCCCATCTTTATTTGGACCACACAAAAGGTTTAAAATCGCGCAATTGGGTTTTGAGACATTTTTTGTTCATGAGGTGAGGCGTAATAATACTCAAATAATATGACATAACATAATTAATTTCTATTAAACTATGAATAACAAATTAGTATACATGAAACAAAAAATTGTACATATAAAGTGACAAGTGAAAAATTTTGTGAAATATAATTAATATCCAAATATATAAAAAAAAATATTAAATATAAGAATTACATAAAAGTATCATATAACATCAAGTTCAATAACAAATTCCTTTTTTCTAGGTTTCCTACTCATTCCCATTTAATTCCTACAAAAAGCTAAAATAGTTGGCAAGAACTTAAAAATCGTTTGCACTGCCCTCACTGAGGGAGTTTTTATTTGAGTTATCGTCATAACAAATTATTTTCTCCCCTACCTCATCCTAAGGAATTAATGTCTTCCAATATCCTTTTTATTTATTTATTGCAGTCATATTCCTCTTTCATAAATATTTTCATCAACATATAGATATTTGTACTTCAAAATTTTTAGAGGAAGAGATGGTGGCGATGTGCAGCTTTCATGTGATCTATGATTATGGTTGTGGCAAATGTGGTGGGCTGGAGGTCTAGGCAGTCAAAAGGAAGTTGTTGCGGATCAGAGATGCGTGAAGGCGTGATTTGTTCGGTGCTTTAATTTAGGATTTAGTATAGTTTTAGGCACAAGCCTCATAAAAAAAACTAGAGGCGTAAGCATTGAGACGTTTTCACTAGAATTGCATTTGAGGAAGGCCTCAAAGCAAGCCTTATATTGCACAATTTTAATCAATGGTTGCACATGATTATGTTCCCCACTATAAATTATGCCTGATCTGAATCCATTTTTATCTATAGGAGCCTGCAATATCTCAGCCAGCACAGACAACCATGCCTTGTACTCTATTTAAAGTTAATTTTTGTCAATTTGGCTGACATGGAGGGGAATTTGATTCTGTTTAAAACATATAAGACTATAAAATGGTTATAACCCCACCATGATCCACTGTGTTATCAAGTATAATTCTGTGGTCGGGAACACTTGTCCTTGCTTTCTTCTACAATATTTGAATTGCTTCTAAACTTGTTGACATGGGTAACCAAAACTTTCTAAATTAAAGCTAGCTTATGTTATGCTTCGTGTTATTGCAGGCAACAGCCCAAAAATCCTTGGATTCAAGATCCCGGGTAAGAGAAAATTAGATTGGTCACCAAATACTAAATGATAAGCTTGATTGGATATCATAAAATCGTCATGATATATGTGTCCCTTTGCAGATTAGAAGACAGTCAACAGTCGAGCTAGAGAAATTCAAAGAGCGGTGGAATAAAGCTGTTGAAGAGGACAGGGATTGGATTGATCCTTTTGATCTCCAAACAAGATAACGCAAAGTTAATGCTGCCGTTAGTTTAATTAAATTTCACGTGGCATGGTGCAGATTATTTATTTGTTCCTTGGGTTGCCGTTTTTGTTGCGTTTAAATGGTAATCATATAAATGTCTTTTTCAAGTCTTTGACATTCTAATATGATATCTCCAGTGTTCATTTAAACCGTTGTGATATTGTGCCGTGCAGCTCTAAATCGTTGTGAGCCATTTATTCCCAAGGTTGTCTTCAGGCATCTTTTGTACTGCGAATGCACTCAGACTATGCAACTCCCTGCAGCCAAATGCTGATATTCTTAAAAGTTTGAACGGCACTCCATTTCTACTTGAGATATAGCTGAATTAATTTCGTCTTGTTGTAGTTTTTTTATTGTTTTGTATTTTTTGTATCATGAATTTAGATAATTATTTAATGGCTAAGGTTATATGCAATCTATAGTTCGCTCAGTCAAAGGACCACATACTTCATTATAAATGTTTTCTTCGCAAGTACCTGCTGCCGTCCTCATATCTCCGGTACTTTTGCTTTGTTGAAAGTTTTACTTAGCTTTCATAAGTTGGAAATGTATACTAGTTTCTTATATTTCTATTTTTTAAACTGAACATTCAAATTGTAACTGAATCTTTCAGAAATGAAAACTTTTCCTTACAAGATGCAAAAGTAATTATTATGTGGTTTGTACTTGCTCAGTCATATCCAGAATTTGAAGTGTCACTCTTGTAATTTTGATCTGACATTCCAAAGCATCACTTTCCTTGCTTTACTCAATATCATTATCTGGAGTGGAACTAATTCAGGGATCATTAGCAGTTAAAAGATGGCCAATTATTTGGTGCTGATTCTTCAAATTTTCTGGTTTCCTATAAGAGGATAGACTTTTCAGTGATCAATTAGCAATGAAAAGACGGCACATTATATGGTAATCACTGGAATGATATTTCATTTCATATAGTTCCTTTGAGTTCAAACAAAGCCACAAGGAACTCTAACATCGTTATGAACTGAAGACACTTAGAAAAACATCAAGGATGAAGGGAGAGTTGAAAGATAAAAGCAAAAAACTCGACTAGCCGCCGAGAACACTTAAAACAGAAAAAGTTGAGAGAAAATATCAAAATATAACTGACAAAGGCAAAGCAAAACCATCTTGTTTTCTTGTTCCAATGCGCGCTCCTCAGTCTAGCATGCTGCAATCACCTTCTCCATCTTCATCATCTTTTAACTATTGCTCTTTGTCCTAACAACATTCATAGTGGTTGCAAGGACCCTTATCTTTGCAGCATTTAGCTGGGGAGCTGGTAGATGATAGTCCAGTGTTCCGTCGCAAAAGGAAGCTGGAAGGGGCAGTGAAACAGTGAGGAAGCCAATGCTGTTCATGGCTCTTTTTTAGATTACATTTGGATGGAGCAATAAGGTATCTTATAAACTTTTAGGGCTTAGGAGCTACTTTCAATGTTATCTATAATTTAAGATCTCATATAGTAGGGCGACCATATTCAATGGATCTTAATTGGTTCTTAATTGGTTTGATGGTTATAGTTAGGTGATGGTGGTCTGATGATGGAAGTTAGATGATGATAGGGGGATTGGGGTTGGGTGAGTGCATCTTTTTCCTTCATAAAAATATTTTATAAATTTTGTTTGCGTTAGTATAAGAGCCTATTATTTTTATTCTTACCATTTCGCACTCAAATGATTTCTTTTTAGTGATTTTTTTTCTTAAAATTTATGATTAATCATATGCTCAATTTTGAAGTGTATATAGAATAAATTTCTATCTTCAAAAAATAAATCCCTAATAAAGAGTACGATGTCGGTTCAAATTTTCAAAAAATATAATGCTTAATAGCCTAAAAAATTTCGTTAGGCATCTTTTTTTTTTTAATAAACAGATCATAACTTGTCTTAGAACCCACATCATATGAGTATTTATCATTTCCATTCCTGTGATAAAATCATTGTGAGAGGGACATATTTAACATTTCGTTTTTTTTAAAATGTTGCTAATAGAAGAGATGCAAATAATGTATTACAATGTTATTCAAGATATCAAACATCATCTATTAAATGTTCATTCAATGAGCACAATATATGAAAGAACCAAAAAAAAAAAAAAAACTGTACCATCTATATTCTTGAACATGATTTTGTTCAACATATAACTATTTGTTGGCATGAAATGATATTCCTCTTAATATATTTTTATGAAGAGAAATATTTACAAATTATTTTTTAAATGATTAAAAATTAGGAGTCAATAAATATTTTAGTTAATCTATTGCTATGAATTTAAACCCTAATGATTTCGATTTTCCGTTTAATATTTTAAAATAATAATAATAATTTATGAAACAGCTGTGGGAAGGGATTGTGCCATCAGTTGAGTACAGCTGGAGGATGCTGCGGCGGATGATGAAGTTTCAAAGATGATGGTTTAACACTTTCGTACTCTCTTCAGATTCCCTCACTTCCTATTCTGTCTTCCATCCGCGGCTGCCTCTTTGGACCTTTTCAGATCTCTTCATAATCTCTCTTTTCGTCTGCAATCTAGAGTTTAGATCTCTGTGTAGGGATGGCGAACATCGACATTGAAGGGATACTGAAGGAGCAACCGAGTGATGGGAGGCTTCCAAAGACGAAGATTGTGTGCACGCTAGGGCCGGCATCGAGATCGGTCCCGATGCTTGAGAAACTGCTTAGAGCGGGCATGAATGTTGCCAGGTTCAATTTCTCCCACGGCACTCATGAGTACCACCAAGAGACGCTCGATAACCTCAACATTGCAATGCAAAATACTCAGATCCTTTGCGCCGTTATGCTTGACACGAAGGTTAGTTTATGCCCGCGTGATCCCCATCCTTATATTCTATTACGTTGCCTCGGATTTTTTTTTTATAATTTCTTTGGACTTAATTTCTCTGAGCCCTACGAATCATCATCGTTGTTTGCCTTGTTCCAACTATTGGGGATGTTGATTCCTTTACATTTTCCTTAACCTATTTTTTTCTTAGCTGTTGTTGTTTTTATTTGCCATGAATTGTACATGCTTTTTCTTTCTTTCTTTTTTATTTTTCCTAGTTCTTTCTTGAATGAAACTATAACTATAATATTCTTGCCACTAATAAAGAATCCTTACCCCTTTTTCTTTTGCGAGACCTTGAATAACTTGATCAGATGATATCAAAGCATTAGGTTTTGAGGAATCTTGGTGCATGATGTTGATTAGCAATGACTTCAAGAAAATCGGGGAACTATTCTTTTACCTAGATCTTTCAAGTAGAAGGAGATGAAAGTATATCATAATCGAGGAGATAGGCCCAACGATTTGGTTACCCATGTTGCATGCCTTCAATTTTAGATGATTGTGATGATGTAGTTTATGAGCAAGCAAACTATGTACCGGTCTATAAGGAGTAATGATGGTGGATTAAAAAAGGTGTTTGAGGCACACGCCTTGAGGCGCGTCTTACCATGAGGTGCCAAAAAATCACCTTAGGCTTACGCCTTAAGTCTGAGTGAGATTTACACCTTTTTTTGATTGAGGTCTACACCTTGAGGCATCTGAGTCAAATATGTCAAATAATAATAATAATAATAATAAAATTCTTTTGTTATATGATATTATGATATACCTAATATAGTTTATAATAGTTTTTGATTTAAATTTTGTAGATTAGGATTTAGAGCAAGTGAGATAGAGAGGGATGAACAAGTTGCTTGTAATTGTGAGCATGGAGATCGAAAAGCGAGGAGCATTGTGAGTAGGGAAGGTTATGTGTAGGGAATGCCTCGATTAACTATAAGCGAGGGAGAACTTGTCTATGAGTGGTTGAGCAATTGCGTGTGTTTGCCAGTTGAGCAAGTTCGTTTTCCTCACAAAAAATAAGTATGATTATTTTAAATATTATATTTATTATTATAATAATTTTGTTTTTATTTAACATAATATATTTGCATTATTTTAATTTGATTTTTTTTTGTTTTTTTAAGATTCTTTTACTTTGTTTTTTAACTGATGATGAACAGTTAATTTAGTGATGGTTTATGACATATATTTACAAATTATTTTTATAAGTTATTTATTTATTTATTAATTTGAGGCATATGTCTCTCTTTGTTAAGGCAAAATGCCTCAGTTTTCGATTTAACCTTTTTAAACCTTGGGTTTTATTCTTATTCATGTAAGAGGTCATTCAGTCAAGCAGTGCTTCATTACAAGCATGTTTAATTGTAGAGTTTCCAAGAGAAATTCATCCATTGCACTAAGAGATGTCTTGCGTATTTAGGCTAATATCTTTTTTATTCTTTCTTCTCCATATGACCCCCCTTTTTCCTTGAAGCTTGCCATTTTATAAGCATGTTGGAGGCCGCTCCTTTTCCAAGCCTAAATTTTGATGATCTCTCACCCTCTTTGAACTGCCATATTTAAATTCAGGATGTTATAAGCCCACATAGTTCTGATTGATTCATTCCCAAACTACAAATCATACTAAAGGCTCTTAGGCTCTAATAAGTAATAACAATTGTAATGCCCTAGTCCATGCAATGCTATACTTTGTTTTCTTTCGCTTGACTCGTCCCAGCTAGTATGAACTTCATGGTTTTATCATATTTCGTAAATTGTTAGGGTCTTACCCATCCTGTGAGTGCTCCATTACGAGCACACTTATTGTGAACTTCCCATGGGAAATCCACCAATTATACTAAAAAGCGCATTGCATGTTAATATAGCCGAATATTCTTTCCACGCCTTCCAATGTAGTATTTGGTTCATTCCTGGCCACCCTCTTCTCTACTAGAAGTCTGTCATACTAGAATCCTGCCATGAGCTACTCATGGTTTGGGCCTTAGTAGATCACTCCAGGCTCTTTTTAAGCAACTCTCTTCAAACTTGGGATGTCATAGTCATGTTGTTCGAAAATGCCTCAATTCTGACCAAGTAAATGATTGGGTTATATTATAATATCTCTAATTTATTGTTGCTCTTTCCCATCAATGATATTGGTTAGGCACACTTTTTACAATGACCATTGAAGGAAAGAACAAATGTTGTCGCAACAATCCCCCTGTAACCGTAGAGATAGAGGAGTTTCATGGATTGCTAGAATGAAGTAGAAAAATTTGAAGGGATATGTTCAAGGTAATTCTCTACCCTATTCTATTAAGAGTAACCTTTATTATGATCAGTGATGGATCTTGGGACACAATGGAAACTTCATTCATAGCTCTTCTCGGACAAGTTCAAAGAGGATGTTGAGGGGAAGGTGGCTACTGCAATAAACTTGAAGCAAAAATTAGAGTTGTTGAATTAACAAGAATTGACCTGTTATGGCAATGCTGAGGGGGAAAGACCAATTCGACACCTGAACTTAGTGTGAGCAAGGAGCTATTCATATTTTGAATCTATGCCAAACACAGTCAATGCCATGTTTGACAGGAGGAGTTAAATTAACTTTATCTCAATAAGCCTAGTCAAGAGATTGAGACTCAAGATGATTTCTCACTATCATTCCATCCTCTCAGATGGATTCATAAGGGCAAGGAGATCCAAATTGCTTAGTAATTTGCGTTTGATTTGCCAGTACTTAGAGATTCATCAATGAGGTAATGTGTGAAGTTTTGCCTCTAATATTTGTAGAACCAAGATGCCATCTTTTATAAAAGGCTGTAGTTATATTGTCTCTTGAAGTACGTTACATTGTTAACATGAGCAAAGGATGTCAACCACTAAATTTTGTGGTGGTTTGACTAGGGAAAATAATTATAAATGCAAGTCAAAACTTTATTTTGCTCTTTATTGGATGGAGGAAGCTTGATGGCAATGCAAAATCATTGGTCCTAGAAGAATTTGAGATGATTCAAGTGGATGAAAAAGAAAATGTGCTCTCTGGTTTTTGGGATGCGAGGGATGAGACTACAACGATTAGTGGAAGAGTAGCAAAAGCTTTTCCAGTACTTGAAAGGATTGCCTTGAAAATGAGATCTATCTTTTCTCAAACCTAACTTTATCCAACACTCAGATGTACCACAACTAAGTGGTGTTAAATGAAGATATTAAAAGCTAGTTGTTGAGTTATTATATAATGACATCATCCAATTGAGAAACTTGTTGTGTGGAACTCCAATTGAGATGATGTATAATAAGGATAATAGTTTGTGGATGTGTTTAGATCTTCAGCCACTAAATAAAATCATTGTAAATAATTGATATCCACTTTTTATAGTGGATGACTTATTGAACCAACTAAAGCTAGCAACAATCTTCACCAAGTTGGATTTAAAATCAAGCTACCACCAATGATTGCAAAAAGGTATTTTGTATTCCTCGTTCAAAACCAAATAGAGACTATGTGAGTGGATTATAATGTCTTTCCGTCTCTGTAATATACGGACCACATTCATGTATCACATGAATGACATTTTGAGATCATTTATGGAGGATTTTGTGAACTTTGATGACATCCTAATATACATAGGGCGTAGAAGCAGCTTGTCAGATGTGTGGAAAACGTTTGGTCTCTTGAAGAAAGATCAATTCATGATGAATATGAAGTAGTGTTATTTTGAGAAGGAGGCCTTGCTCAATTTGGGGTTGAAAGTTGGCAATGGAAAGATTGTGATCAACACTGAGAAGATAAAAGCCAGTAGAGGTTGACCTTAGCCATGGAATGCAACTGACATGTAGATCACAGGAGCTTATTGGTATGTGAAGAGATTCATTTTCAAGTTCTTTATGCTCGTTGCATCTCTACATACAGTAATAAAGGCGAAGAAAAAATTCTCCTGGGAGAAGAAACATGAAAATACATTTCTTCTTCTTAAAAAGAGAATAAACGAGGTGTCAAGTTGAACCTTACTGAATCTTCATAGATTGTTTGAAGTCGAGGCTAGTCCTTCTAAATATGCACTTGATGCATATGTAATGCAAGGGATACCTATAATATATTACTCAAAGAGGTTCTAGAGTGCTCAAATATCATAATAAACTTCTTCTATTTATCCAATCTGTGAAGCATTGATGGCCTCATGTCGAAAAAAGAAGTTTTTTTGCACATTCCAAAGCCACTTCTATATTTATAAACGTAGCAGAAATTCCAACAAGCTCTAAACATGAAGCAGATGGTTTATTCATAAAATTCAACTTAGTCATCAGATAGAAGAAGGGATTGCAGAATAAGATGGTTAGCATTCTTTCTCGACTTTTGGTGGCTTTGTTGATAATCTGCAGTAATTATTTTCTCAGCATGAGTATGTTAACCTTTACAAGCTTGACTTGGAATTCTATAATAATTTGGAAGGAATTTGGATACATCACCAAAGAAGGACTGCTATGCATAGGGAATCAGTTGTGCCTTAAAGGTGGTGATCAGGTAAGTGGATATGGATCGTTTGAGCAAATATGCACGCTTCATTCCTCTGAAGCATCCTTATACTGCAATCTCTGTGACCACTGCTTTCATATGAGTGGTGTTGCATTTGCATGGATTTCCAGAATCTATTATGTTAGACTGAGACAAGGTGTTCCTTAGCCATTTCTAGAATGAGTTGTTTTGTTTAAAGGGGATAGTCCTGAAGAGAAGCACGATATACCATCCCCAGATAGATGTCTATCTGTCCAGACATAAGTAGTCAACATAAGTGTAGAGGCCTATTTGAGATGCTTCATATTATATATGTCAAAGAGTTGGACAAAATGGATTGCTTGGGCCGAATATTAGTATAACACCTTGTACCATTTTGCAACACAAACCACCTACTTCAAGATTCTCTATGGGAGAGACCCACCTCATTTAATTCATTATAGACACAACACTACACCAGCATCTAGTG